CACAATCTCCTCTACCTTCTGCCTTTTTTTTAGATTTCTAGTGTAAACAGTGTGCCTTAGAGTGTATTGGTCGCTTTAAAGAGCTTCATTTGCATATCTCGTCCTTATCTCTGCGGTTGTCCTAACTTGTTGCTTTTTAAAAACTGTCTTGCACAGTGTTTTTCAGTCTTACATCTTTCCCCGACTACTGCATTCTTCAAAATAGGTTCTTAAAAGTGTAACATTGGCTCTTGCTTGATGCACTGCTTTCGGGTGGAAATACCTTAGTGATTAAGTAATGCATTTTGCGTGAGATGTTACGGTGTTCATTTTTATGTGGACTGTATTTACTTTCTCCTGATCACAAAAAAGTATTTATTGCTACAACAGATGCATTCACCAATCCAAACTTTCCTGTATTCGCCCGATGGGAAGTATTTTAAGAATGATGACATCTTTTCCTTTGTAAAAGCAAGTCAGGTGTGTTTCCAGTGACCCAAATTTAGTTTAACTCCAGCACTACGGGCCGCGTGTTTCCAAAGTATCTGACTATGTGTGACTCTTACTCAGTTGTTAGTGGATGTCACTCTTGGCAGTTTAGAGACCACATTCCTCCGAGAACAAGTACTAGGGAGAGCGTCCCCAGGCTCTTCGCCTTCACTCCAGCCACATCCGGCAGCGTTCCCACCTCAAGTGCCACCTGCACGCCCCCGCCCCGTCCCTCCGGGCCGCTTAGGGTCCCCGGGCCGCCCCTCCTCCGCGCTGCCCGCACGGACCTGCCCAGGGCGCCCCCGCGTCCTCCCCGCGCCCCCGGCCGCCGGGCATTGTGTGCACTCGGCCGGCCGCCCGCCTCTCTTCGCTCGAGGCTCATTACGGATGCTCGCGCGCCCGGCCGCCAGCGCGCGCCCCACTCAGCTCTTCCCGGGCCGCCGCCGCCGCCCCCGCCCCTCCCCCGATCCCGGCCCTCCAGCCCGGGTTTTGAGCCCGGTCCCTCCCGGCCCTCCCGCACCCTGCCCCCGCCGCCCGCCCTCCCCCCCTCCCGCGCCCGGGACGCGGCGGCCCCGCCGGGGTAGCAGGCTGCGGGCGGCCGGGAGGAGGCTGCGCTGCCAGCCGGTGCCTCGCATTAAAATGAGGAGGAGGAAGAAGCGGCAGCCACAGCGGCGGCGGCGGCAGCAGCGGCGGCGGCGAGGGCTGCAGCCCGGGAGGACGCGCGGAGCCTGGCGCGACGCGGCCACCGCGGCCGGGATGAGTCAACTCCTGGTTTAATGGGGGCAGAGCGGCCGCGAGGGGACACGAGCGAGAGAGCGAGCGACGGGCAGCCGTCCGGGGAGCTGCGCTCACAGGCGCGCGCAGAACCCCGCGCGCCTCTCCCGGGCCGCCGGCGACACCGGCCTCGCCGCCCGCGTGGGGACCCCGCCTGCAGCCGGGCACCCACCGCCCTCCGCGCAACTCCGCATCAGTTTTGGGGGGCCTCCGGGCGGCGGCTGCGTCCCCAAGTCCCACTGCCATTGTCGAGCTTCTTGTTTACCTCCGACTCGGGCTGAGTGAGAGCTTGGCGACTTTTGGGGGGAGGGGGCGGGGAGCGAGTGGCCGCCCAGGCGGCGGCGGGGTTGCCCTCGGATCTCCCCCTCCCCCCTGCCCCTCCCTCCCCGTCGGTGCTCCCGGGCGCTCCGGGTCCCCGCGTCCATGGGCAGGGAGAGGGTCCCCGGGGCTGTTGTCGGCGACGCCGGCCTCCCAAGTGGCCTTCTAGTGCCTTCCCGAGGCTCTTGGCCCGACCCTCTACCCCTCACCCTCTCAGGCCCCTGCTAGATACTCTCGGTGGGGGTGCGAGGCGGTGGGGAAAAAGTTTAAGGTTTGTTAATCGTAGTCGCGATTGTGGAGGAGGGGGAGGGGGCGGCTGGGAAGAAAGCGAGGTGGCCTTTCCCTGGCGCTCCGGGGTCTCGGACGAGCCTGGCAGGGTGACACCAAGCCGACTTTACACGCTCTTCCAGGAGCTCAGAAAGAGGGGGCAAGGGTCCCTTCCCCACCTCCCTTCCCCCCTCCCCACCCTTTCTGGGGTCCTTGTCCGCAGTGATTTTTTTTCCTACCCAGTACCACCAGTGTACAGCTCCTAACGGGTTCCGCTTTGTTTTTACGACTCCCCCCACCCCCAACGAATCACTTGTCAGATCAATTTTACCTTCTCCCTCCTCCCTACTTCCCACTCTCCCCCTCCTCCCCTTCCAAACCCCGTTCTCTGAGGTTAGACATTTTACCAGCTAACTATACTGTTTTTCGAATTGTGACTTTTTTTTACGCCCCCCCCCCAATATCTACTCTCCTAGCTGTTTATTTTTGCCCTTCCCCCGCTTAGCGGGGCGGGGGTAAGGGAAGAGAAAAATAATACAATTTCAGGGGAAGTCGCCTTCAGGTCTACTGCCTTTTTTTTTTTTTTTTTTTGTAAATAATAATAATAAAAAGGGACATAGGAAACACCAGTCTTGAACTTCACTTCAAGAACCCGGGCTGCAAAGGAAATCTCCTTTGTTTTGTTATTTATATGCTGTCAAGTTTTGAAGTGGTGAGTTTCAGGTCGGTTTTGCTAATTTCACTCAGTAAAACTGCAGCTTTGCTGTTGCTAGATAGTAGTTTGTTTCTTTGTCTCTTTAAAAGGTCACAGCGAAAGCTTGGCCTGGATCGGGCCGGCCATATGGAATGGATAAGGGCACGGGTTCTTAAAATGTGCTTCTGGGGTTCTGCCGGGAAGAAAACGACCCTAAAAGGAACTCTTCGAAAAGAGATCCCACGGTGCAAAAAAAAAAAAAAAAAAAAAAAAAGGACAATACATATATACTTTTTTTTAATCAGAATTTCGTGGTTTTATTTCCTGCTTTTTAAAATTCCTGAGATGGAGTTCTTGTTCAGGAAGGATCCTCTGTGGTCTTAGTTTATGGACAGGGAAATGGGACTTGCGGAAAGTAGCCTCTTTCTGTGTGCCATCTGTACATTGCTCTAAAGTGGTTTTTAAAATATGTAACTCAGACTCTTGAGATGGGCTTTGGTTGCGAGCACAGTTAGTCCCAGCTGCTGTCAGTCCAGGCAGGCCTGTTGGCTTTGGATGGGTTCACCTCCACCCTCAGGTTTGACGAACTTTCGCCTTGGCTTAGAGTTTAAAGGAGTATTAAATTGGGTGTTTTATGTGCATGTAATTTTGCTTTATAATGAAAACCTTTTAAAGAATTGACTTAGTGTCTAGTAGATGCTTTAGGTGTCTCTTCAAAAAACAGTTTTATGACCTATGTGATGTTTTGGCTGTCAGGACTTTAAATTGCAGTCCGTTCAGCCGGTGCTGCTCACCTCCTGACCACCCAATACGCTCTGTATTAACTTTGATGCTGTTGTGAATTCCCCTCCCACTTTTTTTCTCACAAATTTCCACAAGGGTTAAATTTTTTCTGTTCAATTCATACTTTTAAGATTCGTCTTCTGCTTTAGGGTAAGGCAGTCAGTTTTAGAGAAATCAGCCTTGCACTGTGGTCCGGATAAAAGTAAAGAGTGTTTTGAACAACTTAATAATCATCATTCTAATTCTGGCTTTAGACTGCTGTTTAAGAGAACGGAAGAGTGAGCTTGCTAAAAAGTGGTTCAAAAGGATTCGTTTATTGTTAACGAACCTCATAGCCAAAAGCAGATGGGACCTCGGTCAAGGGTATGAACCTGTAGAGCTCAGTGTGCCACCCTGGAGGACAAAGATAAATAACTGTTATTGTATCTCAAACTTGGTAGATCTTGGTTTGTCATTCTTAAGGTTGCTTAAAGCCCCAGATCACATGCCTGTCGCCATTTCTTGGTTCTATAGGATAAAGTAGGGTAAACCTAATAAGAGAAAACTATCAAAAAGTCATGCTAATACAAACTATCAGCTGATCCAGGTCCAAATAGTTTTGAGTATATTAATTACTTTTTAAAGTATATAAGATATTTCAAAATACTAGACAGCTGGAAAAAATGCTGTCAGATTCTCTCTGGCTTTCCTAAATGTCCCCAGTACTTCAAGGCTAATGAAAATTCATAACATAATTCTGCTTACCTGTTCTGTTTAACCACCTCTATTTAAAAATATAATTTAGAAGTAACTTTGGTATATTGTACCAGTTGCTTTATTATAAGCACTATTCAAAATTGAAGTCTAATTGACATTTTTCTGAAATTATGATGGTACTAACTTCCTTGCATCCTGATTATTTTTTAATACCGGAGATTGTATTTGGTCAATATTGTTAGGGTTAATTTTTAAAGCGAGCTTCACACATCCACTTTTTGTATATATCACAAAATATCTTAAGAGTTTTTGCTATTTAATTTAACAGCACCCTGTTAGCAATGGACACCTAAATATTAACTCCAGAAGACAAGTTGTCCTGCTAAAAGACATGGGACATTTGAAGGAGCGCTCCACTCCTTCCTGTGTGCTTAGGGGTGAAATGATCCAGTCATGTGTTTGTCCAGGGCTTGAGAGCTTTAACAGCACGGAACTCCTGAAACTTAGCTAGCAGCAAACTTCTCGCTGCTTTAGCTCACAAAGCAAGTGGCCTTGGGTATTTGCAGTGTTCTGAGGTTCTCGTCTGTAGCATAGATGGCAATGCACGTTAGAGTGTAAGCTCCTAGGAAGCCTGGTGCTGCACACTGTAATCTTTCCATCCTCCATTACAAGTATTATAGTCATAGCCTGTCGTGAATTTTTAATTTTTTAAAAATCGAGAGTCCATGAGTATAATTTGTTATTTTCTTTTTACCTTATGGTATTCTTGTTCTGAAAGTCAGCCCGTTTTCCTCATAGTTTTAGCTGAGGAATTACTGTTTTATTCACGTACATTGGTACAGATTCCACAGTATTCTGTTAATTTAGATAGAAGCATAACCTTGTAGATCATTATGTAATTGCATAAATGTGTTTATGGAGGGAAATGTCTAGGGATGAGACGTGTATGGGGCAGGCATAACTACAGCCCTCCACCCACTGATAACGTCTTCTTTTCCAGTTCTGCCAGGTGATCTGTAGGACAGTGACTGAGTATGGATCATTTGAACGAGGCAACTCAGGGGAAAGAGCATTCAGAAATGTCTAACAATGTGAGCGATCCGAAGGGTCCACCAGCCAAGATTGCCCGCCTGGAGCAGAACGGGAGCCCACTAGGAAGAGGAAGGCTTGGGAGCACAGGTGCAAAGATGCAGGGAGTGCCTTTGAAACACTCGGGCCATCTGATGAAAGCCAACCTTAGAAAAGGTAAATACTTGCCAGCCGAATCCTGGAAAGCTGTTTGGTGTCCGCCCAAGGCCACCCCGTGTGGAGGTGTAGGGCTGGGACATGTCGTGTATATTCTTTTTCTAGGTAGCTTTCTGATGTGAAATTACGTGGCATCCTGGGCTGTAGTGTCAATTATGTTTTGAAAGCGTGAGTGCTGTCTTTGAGTGGTGCTTCTTCCTACCCAGGGCTGGATGTCTGAGACTTTCTGCAGTCTTCCTTACAGAGGTGGATTAGCACTGCAGTCACAGATGTGCAGGTGGCTGCTCCTTGAACTTACCCAGGTTTTTTCCTGCGATCCTAACTGTGAGGGGATTTCAGGACATGGATCTGACATGAGATCAGAGATTTGTGATGTAATTTATTGTGGTTTATTTTCTGAAGAGCAAAGTAATTATTTAATAGTGGAAAAACTTGCTGATTCTAGTTAATTTCTGCTATACTTGAGAATTTTTGGTAAAAGAAAGGAAAATTTGGGCAAGTTTATAAAGGGAAAAATAAACAAGTGATTTTCTACCAAGATGAAATTGATGGAGTTTTAACAACTTTGTCTGTGTTGTCACAACAGGGCAGTTCCTCTGTGGGCTATCTTTATTTTTTCATTGAATAATACATAGGAGTCAGATTTTTTGTGTGTGTGCTTTTCTGAGCAAAGAATAAAAATGCCATCTTTACCAACCCCGAATATTAAGTAGAGAAAGTTAGGGGGCTGAGGAATTTCATTGTGTTTGATGCATAACATTTACCATACAATCATTTATTTTTTTCCTTGGTTTGGTGAAAACAAAGAATATATTGATCCTGAAATAAACAGACACAGCAGTCCGTATTGTTAGATCTTTATCTATTAAAAATGGAAAAACAGCACCTCAGCAAATTCTTTGGCCTCTACTCGTGATTACCCTATTTATTGATTGTTTGCCAAGAATGTATGCATCTTTAAGCCAGGGCAAGAGCATTAAAAATATAATTTATTATGGCTTTTCAAACAGAGTGCATTAATATTGTACTGTGTAGCGCTGAGGCTCTATAAAAAAGACTTTCTGACGCCTGCAAACACACAAGTTCCATAAATTCCTAAATAGGAGATTTCAGCTGTCTCTGGTATTATGTGATATTTGCACAGCAAACTTTAATGCCAGGACAGTTTTAGACAAGGATTCTACAGACTCCACTGCTCCTTATGGCAGCCGTGCTGTTTACACAGGCTCAGAAGCCTCCAGCACAAGCCTCTAAGACTGCCTTCAGGTTTAAATCATGTGGTATTTTTAACTTTCAGCAGTGACCAGTACTCTCCCTTTCTAATGCTGGAGGGCTAGGAAGTTGCTGTAGTTGGAAGTCTGGCCAAACACCAGCTTGGATAATCAGGCAGCCCAGCGAAGGCTCCTGTTTAATATTACTCCCTTTAACAGGAGGGCAACCGTGACAGTTCTCGAGACGGTCTAGCACCGGGTTTGTAATTAGATGATCCCCTTGCTACCGTGTCTGTAGCCACCTTTATTATCTATAAGGCACCTTTAAATTTGATCAATAAAACACAGAGTCAACCCAGGCTGTTTCAGTGGTTTGAAAAGGTTTCAGTTATTTCAGAGCGCTGAGCTCTGAGAAGCTACTCCCTGTTCGACACCTCTGTTTGATTCCATGAGAGAGGAACCAGTATGCATGTTTTTGGCTTGCTAACCCAACAGTTAGCAGTGACAGAGAGAAGGAACCAGAGTCTGATCATCCTGTTCCTGCTCAAATGCTTTAAAACTATACATTCAAAATTCTATATCTTAAAAATATAGTTTAATTGTGGAAGGTTCTGTGCGTAATACAAAAAGCAAAAATTTCTAAGCCTTTCAGTAGTTTTTTTTCTTTAAATCTTATTTTTTATGTGCATGGTTTCTGTTTGACAGGTGCTAGATAAAAATTGTGGCTAAGCTGAGAAAGCACTAAAAAAAGGGCTTGGGTGTTTTTGTTTGTTTAAGAGATTTTGCCAAAATACCTTCAAGCCAAGGAAGAAATCACCAGTTTGCATATTGCTATTTTTGCTGCGGTCTCCCCAAGTTCTCTTCTGATCCCTGACGGGTTCTCTCTCTGGTATAAAACAGCTGAATGAATGACAAGAATATTGGCAAGCTCTACGGCTTGTTTTTCATGCCTAGCCTGCTGGTACTTCCGAATGAGTTTGCGAGCTTTTCTGAGTAAACCTAAAGGGGTTTAATTGTCAGAGCTGGAATCTCTTGTGAACAGTTCACAGAGCTTTGGTGAAGACACACATGTGGGAAGATGTAGCTGTTTTATGGCCGGCTTTTGTTCAGCAGAAACAAGCAAGTAGAGAATTTGTAAAGGGTCTCTCTGGCAGTGGGGAATGCTGGTTCTCAGCAGCGGTCGGTAGGCACTGAAACCTTCCCAAGTTAGGGATCTGAGAGTCCATGAGTCCAGGCTATGGAGCCGATATAGGCAGGGATACTGTAGAACTAATTGGGGTCCTGGGTGCCCTGTTAAAGTAACCCTTGTCATCATTTATGCTAAAGATGATGCCCTCCTGGCACTGTGCCACAGTACTGTTCAGATGCATCTGTTTTTAACCCTTTTCTGTAACTGTTGGAAATCTGACAGCACACTGCACTAATACCTTGAGTGCCACCGCAGATGGCTTCCAGCTTGTAGACCAAGCCTCTTTCCCAACAGTGGTGTGGCCTGGGCCGCTGAGTTGCTGCAGTGAATGGAAGGAAGGCAGCAGAGACGCATTAGACCATCGGTGTCTGCTGCTCGTGCCTCTCAGGAAGGCCAGCTTTCCTCTTCCTCTCTTCCATATTTCCTGGGGCAGACGTTGTCAGTGTTTAAAACTTAGGCTGCTGTCATGTCTTTTTCCTCAGGTAGATAGGATAGGTAGTTACAGAAGTGTAAGTTTTCTACTTTATGTGCCTTGAAACAGTGTCTACGAGGATCGGTTTGGTTAGGGTTTGTGTTCCTTTTATGGAACCAGTTAGAGGAAATACTGCAAAGGGCAGAGGAATGATTGTATGGTCAGATAATTGGGACACAAGCTAGTGAAAGCTGTTGTTGGCAGAAGCGTGTATACAGTAGGAAGGTGGGCCCTCTGAAGACAGGGCCTGAAAGGCCAGACACTCGGTTGTCTCTCGGCAGCATTATTGTTTGGTCAGAGAAGCGATTGTGCACTTACTGCTCTGGAGATAAACTGTTACAAAGAGAGGCGAGCCTGCTTTACCGTAGGACCAAGTTCAAGTGAAGGAAATGGAAGCAATTCCTTTGCAACTTTTAAACAGTGAGCAACTGCGTGTTTGTCTGTGTGCCTGTGTCTCTCCCCAGTCTGCCTGGGGAGTTCTGTTGTTCTCTCCCTGTGCAAACGATTTATTTTCAGAGTTTAGGTGTCCCCCTTGCAGACTGTTTCTGAAGACTGTCGGGTTTCTGTCTTTTTCACTGTCTTTTTGATAGGAACGATGCTCCCAGTTTTCTGTGTGGTGGAACATTATGAAAACGCCATTGAGTATGATTGCAAGGAGGAGCACGCGGAGTTTGTGTTGGTGAGAAAGGATATGCTTTTCAACCAGCTGATTGAGATGGCGTTGCTGTCTCTGGGCTATTCGCACAGCTCTGCTGCTCAGGCCAAAGGTAAAAGGTGCACTCCCGGGGCTGGGAAGTTGCTGGCGCTCCTGTGTGCCTCTCAGACAAAGCAGAGAACATTTTATCCAGAGAGCTGCAGCCTATGCTTTATGTTGGTTCCTTATAGACTGTGGCTTTAAAAATTAGCTTAATTCAGTTTGGTTTAGTTAACACACATTTTGCTCATGTGGAATGTCGAGGTAAATTTTTTTTTTAAATTACTTCAGCTGAATCATTAGTATGCTTATTGACCTTAATAATCTGCTCCACTGAGGACCCACAAGGAAGTGAGGAGCGTATTTGAGCAGATGGACTGTTGAGAGTCAATTTGCATTTATGACTGAATATCTAGTTCTGTTTCTTTTATTCTGTTTCTGATGGTTTTATGGGCTGTAAAGTATTTTTCAATGTTGATTCCCACTGCAATAGGGAATCTTATCTAAATCATAAAGCCATTTAAAAGCGGTTCAGCTATGTCTTATTAGAACTTCCTGTAAGTTAGGACAATGTGGCCCGATGCATAGGTTTAATTGATGGGTATTTATTTCCAAAATAATAAACAACCCCTATAGTCATTTACATAATTTCACAATTTGGAAAGCTATGCTGCGGATGTCTTCATTGACCTGCCTTTTTGAGGGAAAGGGAATCATTCAAACAGAAATAACAATATTGCTTGTGGGGTGGCAGTGCTGAAGAGCACAGCAACCTTTCTCTGGGTCTGAGAGCCAGCACTAAGCATGTCCTTTCTTTATCTGGACTAGGGCTCATCCAGGTTGGGAAGTGGAACCCAGTTCCACTGTCATATGTGACAGATGCCCCTGATGCTACGGTAGCGGATATGCTTCAAGATGTGTATCATGTGGTCACACTCAAAATCCAGTTACACAGGTGAGTCCAGCAGCAGTTCCAAGGGAAATTCTCCGCCTGCCTGTGTGGACATAAAGCTTCTCTAGCCAGCTCCCAGTTTCTGTTTACTCGGGGGTTTGAGACATGCTAATCCAGATTAATTTGGTAACTTTACCCCTTCTGTTATTTTCTCCAGCTTCAATGTATGACTCTGAAATCATCTCCCTCTCTTGAAATTTCTGCATTTTTTGCATGCGTTCAAAAGATAAGACTTTTTACTTTTAGTCAATTAAATGATGCATTACAAGAAGGCATTTTACATAAAGTTTACTTAAGAAAAAAATATTTTTGCATATCATGAACAGTGCCATCTGTGTACATTTTGTGAAAGAATGCCTTATTCGCTTTGCCATGATCTTATTTACTTATATCTGTATTTTGCCGTTTTAATTCGTGTGAACAGAGTAGTGGGAAGAAATCAGTTAATACGTTAATGCTTTTCCTGGTGGCTCGCAAGAAAGCAGTGCACCTTAAATTGTCTTCCCAAGCGCATCAGAGCAGGAAGGTAGAAGTAACATGAAAAAATAGCCACCACAGGCAGCTGATGTATAATTCATGCATCGATACAGCAGATGTGTTGTATAAAGTAATTAACTAATCGGAACAATCAGGAGACCGAGAGCAATCTCCAGATGCATCTGTTTGATTCGCAAAATGAAATCTGTCTGTCTTAAAGGAATGTTCTGCAGCGGGATGCAATCCTGTAATAATCCCCTTTCTAATCTATGTCTCAAATAGTTGCCCCAAACTAGAAGACTTGCCTCCCGAACAATGGTCGCACACCACAGTAAGGAATGCTCTGAAGGACTTACTGAAAGATATGAATCAGAGTTCGTTGGCCAAGGAGTGCCCCCTTTCACAGGTACTCACATAGCGTGTCATAATAATAAGACATCGTGGGCAGCTACCACTCGAGGGCTGATGGGATCCCTGGTTTCAAGCAACTGGTATCTGAAGCAAGAATTTGCTAACAGTGCTTAGTGATTTGACCACTGGTAACCTTTGAAAACCTGCCTTATTCATTCTGAACAGAGTTTTTAATGCCCTTTGTCCCTTGGGGCTGGGGGTGGAGATTGTGTCAAAAAAAAAAAAAAAACAAAGAAAACAACAAACCAGTCCTGCAGAAGACATGACTCTGCCAGCTCATTCTTAGTTCCACTGCTGAGTACTCCGAACCCTCGCTAAGGCAGATGTGCAATGGTAAGACCTCCTCAGCTTTGGCTCATGGATGATAGTATCAGTGTTACTGTGCATAACTGCAGCATGCTGGCTACATAAAATCATGGCGTTTGCTCGATTATAAAATGGGAAAGTGTTTGCTGAAATAATTGTAAATTATGTATGTATGTTAATTATAAATATAAGAAATTTCTTGCCTGGAACAAAAGGTTCATAGTTATTGCCCGTTGGGAGTTTATAACCAGTTTTGAAGAATTAGTTCATTTTTTAAAAATGGACATCCTTTTTTCTTGAGATGCTTGTTTTACCATTAGGGAATTTTGAAATGAGACAGATTTATTATTGTTGCATTTCATTTTCTGGCCTGGATTTTGGTAGAAGACAACTAAGACTCTAGGTTTGCCAAATTTGAAACCCAACATCTTTTGTGCTCAGACTTGGCTTATGTCACCACAGAGTGGGGTGCAGCACCCTCACATTGTTAAGGTTATCCTATGCCTTAGTATTAGTTGGGGTGCTTGCTTAAAGTTTCTTTTAATTCTAGTTGAAGATGTAATTATGAATATTAGTCTGCCAATCATCTGAACTTGTGTTGCTCTCATGAACGTTTCTGGAGTGAAGCTGGTCTCAGCTTGTTTTTTATGACACTGAGTAGTAGGTATTTGTAGTGTAGGGTGCCTGAGGATTCCTGGGTACCTTCAGGGGAAGCCCATGCATTCAGCCCTGCTCCATTAGAGGCCTCCAGCTCTGCCTTGATGTTAGCAGTTTAGGAAAGGAGCAATTCTAGATTAAGCTGTAGCCACAGGTCACCTGTTCTCTTATTAAATGTTTGTTTTCTTGTATTTGAGAGCAAACCTTTTAAAAAATCAGTTCATTCATCCTATCAGCAACTATCTGTCTTGTTGTTCTCATCCTTGAGATAGAGAGGATGCGGAATTATAACCAGAAACTAAAAGTGCTCTACGTGACTTTGCAGCAGTCAAGTCAGCCTGGTGGCATGAGGAAGCAGAGCGACTGACTTCTGGACTGGGCTGTGAAGACAATCCAGAGGACGTACTGCTTGGTTCTTAGTGTCTGAAGATTGTTGTTGTTGTTGTTGTTTTTGCTCAGATTTCTGACTACCCCATGTAGCAGTATCCTGTATCTGCCTGTGACCCAGTGTCCCTCTGATTTGGGAAGTCAGCTCAAGAAAAGACTAAAGGTCTCTATGAGCTGGGGATGAGAATCTGGTGCAAGTATTTATTGTACAGTCACATTTAGCCAGTGAACTCTGCTTATTGTACCTTAACACCACTATGAGAAATGAATTGAGCATAGGCAGTTATCACAGTAAGCAGAATGATAAAAGGAAATTTGAGGCTTAGTCTTGAAGCTGTATAGTGGTGGATTTCTTTTCTTTGTCTCTCTCTCTCTCTCTCTCTCTCTCTCTCTTTCTCTTTCTTTTCTTTCTTATTTTATTTATTTTGTTTTTTTGAGACAGGGTGTCTGTATGTAGCCCTGGCCACCCTTGAACTCACAGAGATCTGCCTGTCTCTGCCTTCTGAGTTCTGGGATGAAAGGTGTGCTTCATACTGGTGAATTTCTCTAGCGAGGTCTTCAGAAGAGGATCCCATCACCACAGCTAAGTGACTGACCTCGGCTGAAATTGCAACCTAAGCTATAGTGGCAATCTTCCCTTTCTAAAAATATTGGAAGTAATCGTGCACATGTTAGTAGAAGTAACAGATACTGAAAATTGGTGTTTGAAAAGACTGAACTTCAAATGAAGTTTTTAATACACTGCAACATCGTCTTCGGTTTCTCCAGCATGAGCCCATGATTCCGTACCCAGAATGTTTGCACGAGTAGCTCTTTCCCTTTTGGTTTCATGGTGAAGGTAGGAAAGATGAGTGATAAAGACTTCCTAACACCTACACCCAGAGTATTTACTGAGCTTGTCAAAACTTCTCTTCCTTTTGTATTTGAGATTGGTGATAGAAATACTGTGTTGAAAAATGCCTAGCAAATAAACACTGTTCCTCTACAGAAAGCAGCCTGGTGCCCAGAGGTGCTGCCACCCTGCTCGCCATGCAATTTCTGATTCATCTTCATGAGGACATTTAGTGCATTATTTAATAGGAATATGCCGCTATTGACTTTAAGGGTTTTGTTAAATATGTTAAAAAGTTTTGTTAAATAGTGAAGGGTTTTGTTTTAATATGTTAAAATATTCCAGTAACAAGAATGGCTACAGGATCCGTAAATAACATGTTAGGTTGAAAATCTCCTGCTGGAAAAGAGGGGGTGGGAGGGATCAGGATTAGGTCTTACTAGAACTTGCCTGGGGAGCAAGCCCTGACTCAGGCACTCCCAGGAGGATCGGCTGATACTAGAAGCTAAGCAAATATCCAGTTGATCTTGTCTTCTTAGAACCCTTGGCTTCTCCACTGACAGTGTGGGAGCTGGTGCTCCTATAGATTAAACTCGAAGTGCTGGTTAGTGACAGATCTGAGTCCTCATTTGCTCTATCCGTGTCCCTGCCCAATGGTACGTTTAAAAATAGGTGATGGTTTTTACAATGGGTGCTTAGGTTTTGATACAACAGTGTTTACTCTGCTAATATTTCTAAGGGTTTCTCCAGCTGCAGAGGGATTTCGTAAGTGGTATGTGGCTTGATTTACAGCTCATGCCTTTCTGTCTGTTAGTACTTTCCTACCGTAAATCTGCCGAAGCAGAGTGACGTGTTTATTAAGTTCTCTGTATCACGTGCTTGTTTATTTTTGTAGAATGTTCTAGGATGTTAAAAATGCTTAGCTCATTACAGATCTGAGATTGGATGCTTTGTTGTTGCCTTTGCGTTTTTCAGTGGCAGTGGTTAGATAGGTCGGCTGTTGCATTCTGAATGGCAACTACATAGAAGAAAACAGTCTGATTCTGGAACAGAAAAGCCTGTTGTCATGAAACTTTCGAGGGTTATGGATTTAGGATGTAAATTGGGAGTTATAAAAGTAAATATTTTGATTTACAATAAAACATTAAATTGGTTGCTTGTTTTCTCTAGAGTTTTAGATACTGAATCCAATCAAACATTAGATGAATATATACATTGCTACAAGGACAAATTATTTTGTTAAAGGTACCATAAGTAAAAAGTCAATTCTTATTTCTGCCTAATTAATGTTTCTTTCTAGAGATGCTTAGGTCAGATGGCCCTCATTTTATCTCGGTCTGTTTCGTGAAGTGTTTAAGCCTCTCCTCCTCTGTCACATCTGCACACATCCCAGTATTTCAGGCCTTGGGATTGCTTTCAGTTTCATTTTTACCTGGAGAAAAGATAACTCCTAGCCATGGCCTTATAAAGTGAATGAGAATTGCCATTTTTATTTTCAGTTCCCAAAGATACAGAAACGGGCTTGAATACCCCATCTAGTAAACCACACAACAGAAACAGTTTCCCAGCTCTCCTTCTCCGGACTGCATCTGTCAAGAAATCTTGGATTTTAAAATTAGTATTATTATTAGTTGCTTGCAAAATGGATAGTAAAATGCTGCCTTTTCCTCATGACACTTAGCCTGTGAGTAGGCTGGTGAAAATCTCCACAGGCCTTTGATAAACAACCTACTTGGTGTTCCATCAGTAGATAACACTGAATCTAGTGTTTAGATCTAATGTCTGAATACAGCGTGTTTTTCTAAAAACAAAATAAAAACCCTGTACTTTGTTTTTTGTATTTATATGAACTAAAATGACATCTTTCTTAACTTTTAAAATATTAATAGTCATATTTCCTGAGGATATCATCAGTATTCATATATCACATTTCACATAACATTATGAAATGTATTCACATATTAATACATTTGTTCATTCCAAAATATATATTAAACTTTTAAAACATATTGACAGGCTGCCGGTGTACCAGGCATCCTTCTAAGTAGCTGAAAAAGTCATGTATAGTTAACTCTGTGGTGCTTTTGATGTACCTGGTGTCGCTCTTTCTCTCAGTAGCAGAGAATTCTAGCCCCATGTTTAAATGAGGAACCTCGGGCACAGACTGTTTGGATGGGTGCCCATGGCAACAATAATTTTCAAATCAGAGCCCAGGAGGTAAACCTAGGGTCTTTTTGATCACATACACAGATAAAGGTAGTTCCAGGTGTTCACAACACTCTTTCTTTCTTGGAGTTCTGGTACGGACTTGAAGGGATCCGCTGCCTTTATTCCAGCTGGGGAGAATCTTCTCCCACTTGGGTTTTTGTGTGTTGACTGTTTCAGGGCATGGGGAGTGGTTTAAGTCGTAAGGGGTGGGGGCGGGGGTATCTGCTGGATAAGACTGTGTCTGGGAGGATCCAGAATTCTAGGTATAGTCTTCAGCTCTGGCCACAGCCCTTCAGCTCTTCACATCTGCAGGGTCAGTATGTGTTGTTGAGCCCATGATGTCCTTTTGATTAAGCCCACGGTTAAAGGTTCACGTTTTTTGTTGGGTCTAGTAGGCAGTTGCATTGCTCAGATTTGTTTCAGAGTGCAGGCCTTTTGTCACCAGGTGGGGCCTCCATGATGGACAAGAATGTACGGGCAGTTACCCTGAAGAATAACAGTTTTCTGCTTGATGTCCTTTACCCCTCCTGCTGCAGAGGTTGCAGTTACATCTGTGGCTGAGCACCATGCTCCTTTGAGGGCAGCTCCCTGGACTACTTTCTCTT